GTTTCCCAACCCGGCCCTCAGGCAGTACATGTGTTTGCTCCTTCCCTGCCAGACAGTCAACATTTCTGCTCCTGGGAGGGAGTAAAAACATGAACCGTCTAAAGGTCCCTGAGGGCCGGATTGGGAGACACTGGTCTAACGTGTTACCTCCCCCCAACAGCGCCTCCTCTTTGCCAAGCTCTTCAGCCACCTGACGTCCGCACGGAAGGCCAAGAAGTCAGAGATCCCCCACTTCCGGCTGAAGAAAGTTCAGAACATAAAGATGTGGCTGTCGCTGCGGTCATTCCTCAAGGTTCGGACGGATGGTCTTGTCTCCTCATCACTGTCCTGTAACACCACTGTCCACCAGAGAGACATTTTCGTCTGGCTGAGGCCCTCACATTGTTTTTTCTTTGTGTTTGTGTCGGTGGCTTTTTCCATTGCAGAGGCGTGGACCCCAGCGATCGGTTGATGTCATTGTGTCCTCCATCTTCCTTCTTGCTCTTTCCATCTCCTTCATCTGTTGTGCACAGGTCAGCCATACCTGTCAGCGAAACACTAACTTATTTTTTCCATAGCAGCTATTAAAATCCTATTCATGCTTGTATAAATAGCCTAATATTGAAAGCAACGCGTGCATTTCCATTAAATACAAAAAAATCTAAAGTCGACAAAGCATTAGCTATATATTTTGTTATTCCAGTATTTGTTAAATGGTTTCCAGAAAGCATTTCAGTATTAGCTAGACATTGATATCAAACCTGTGGTTACTTATCTGGTTACTCATGATTCTATTTACAAATGAGCCAAGTGGCAGTATTGTGTTCTTTTTGTCTTTCTGTTTTATAAATGTTTTTTAACATGTTTTAGCTCTGTAAAGCAATGTTTCTCAATCGAGTCCTCGGGAATTCCCTGCCAGACAGTCCACATTTTGGCTCCTAACCGGGAGCTGGGAGGAAGCAAAAACATGGACCGTCAGTGTGTCCCTGAGGACTGGATTGGGAAACACTGATGTAAAGAATATCTACTATTTTGCATTATTGCTAAAAACAAAACTGCATTTCACAAACATCCAAGGTGGACTTCCACATTGGGGCACAGAATAGTCATGGCCCTGGCTTCCAAGGTCATTCTGAGTGCCTCATCTGATCTCCTACCCCTGCAGCTCCTTCACAGCCACCACACCTTCCTGTATTCAGAGACTAACTGGGAGCTGCTGATCTGGGGATTCGCCCTTATAGTCTTTCTGCTGCGCCTTTCCACACTGGGCTTCGAGACCAACCGGAAGTACAGCAACGTGTCTGTGCTGCTCACAGAACAGGTACAACTTCATGGTTCCCCCGCCCCCCCCCACCTTTGTAAGTACCATTCATGGCGCTTTTCCACCGCCACCAAGAAACGAGCCATGCGTGAACTGACGGTTTTCCATTGTAACTTTTCCGAGCAGTACCCGCGCTGACATACTAACAGGGCCGAAAGCGTGACCAAACTGAGCTTATTACGTCACCACAATCTGATTGGTTGAAATTCACAGACATACTGTTATTCTGCATCAATATGCATGGATTATCTGAATGACAAAAGGGGATATTCTATAAAGAAGTAATTATTAGTTCTATCACATATCATGATGCATTCCTGATAACTCAAAACTTGAACAGCCCCCCGCACCTTGCTTAAAAAAAGTACTCTAGAACAGCTGAATGGAATGGATTCATAATGGAAATTCACACAAGCGAATGCTAATTCTGCTAGCGTTTGATGCTAACATAACACAGCGATTCTCACAGACGTGCTACCGTAAATTAGCACATATTAAATTATGATGTACACTGTGTGAACAGTAAACAGTAAAACAGCTGTAACTAGTCTCTCTTCACGATGCAGCTTGGGTTCCTGTATGCCAGTGGAAGAGTGCCATTAGTTTTCTACTGTGGCTTTAGGTCATCATGTCTGACGCAGACACCATTTTTACTCAAAGGTGCAGGGAAAATAGATATAAGTTTGGAGTTTCATTTTGCTGCACATGTACTAAAATACTTCATGGACCAGAATTACCTTCCTTTTTTCCTCCAGATTAATTTATATCTGAAGATGGAAAAGAAACCCAACAAGAAGGATGAACTGAACATTGTCAACAACGTCCTAAAACTAGCTACAAAGCTGATGAAAGTAAGATCAGTGTCCATATTGGGCGTTGCAGTACTGACCTGTCATATTGATTAAGTGTGATGTGATTAGCTTGCTTTGAATTCCACTCTGCCCTGAACAGTGATAAGTCATTATGGTCAGGTATGGTGAGTGGCCAAGTTGCCATATTTCTGATCAATCAGCTGAGGTTGCATTATGATCTAACTTATAGCCAAAATGTTGCAGATTCAGGCCAAGACAGGGTACTGTCGTACATTTTAAATCTAAATAAATGGGATGTGCTTTTTGATGAAATTGACTTCTACTATATAGATCAATGAAAATGATTCTGAGCCTCAACTCTTGTCTCAGGAGCTGGACAAACCCTTCCGGTTGCTGGGCCTAACCGTGAATCCTCTGATCTACAACATAACGCGTGTGGTTATTCTGTCGGCAGTCTCGGCTGTGATTAGTGACCTACTGGGCTTTAACATCAGGGTGAGTGAAGGTCCCTCTCTGCTTGTGTCCGATGAGTACTGTCTGTGGTGTTTTTACTGCTGAGAAGAAGGAACGAATGAAGAGGATGCGTTGACTCTCTCCCTATCTGTGCTCTAATCTTTGTCCCTGCTCCCAGCTGTGGAAGATCAAGCCATGATACGAAGTCCGGACAGATGACTTGAGTTCCACAGATGTGCTGGACCAGTGAAGGATATCTGCTGATCTTCGTCAGTGAGCCCTAAAGCCAAACTGCTACAGATGGCATGGAAGGGCATCCCTATTTCTAAGCCAATGGAGAAGACTCAAAACAGTGTGTGTCCAAAATTTTTATTCCTCCATGGGATGAATATTTACACTGGATCAATACGGGTCACTTTAGCGGTTTGATATTTGGCAGGACCAATTCAATGGTAGAAACAGGGTTATGCTTTGCTCTCTTAGACCGAATGTGCAAAACTACTGTCTTCGTAAGCAATCCGACGGACATTTGTGTTCGTGGACGCACCGTGAGTATTTAATAACACACAAACACTTACCTCGCCCTCAGGTGTAGCCCCCTTAGTGCCTTTTTTCCTGCGACAGTCCCGGAGATTGTTTAGGGTGGCGAAGCACAAAAGGGTGAGAAGATACTGTAGCAATGCCAGGGATTCGTATTGCGGCAGAGAAAAACTGGAAGTTTCGAGTATTTTACGAAAAGAGATGCAAGGAAGCGATTCGGACGCTCTAAGCGATGGAGTCAAAGTTAAAATCCAATGAATCGGAAAATAAACCAGAGGAAATATAGTCAAGGATGTATGAAAATCTTGGGCTGCTGTGCGGTGATTGTGTAACGATGAGCTGAAATAAATGTTTTATGCATTTTTATTACGCGGATCCATAACCCAGTGTTGTTATTATTATTATTATTGTTACTATTATTATTATTATTGTTACTATTAAATAAAATGTGGCGCTTTCCTTGTTGAAGTATTTATTTAAATAATTGAAATTGATTACTGCGTCGGGAGGAGGGTAAGCCACGAAGAATTCGAAGTATCACTATAAATTCATTTTGCTGGTCACTGGCTTTAACAACACTGTGGTACAGAGCAACTTCCATGTTGTATTATGCATCAGCAAACATATCTGTATGCGATTGTATTTTTGTTAAAAATGCATTTCCCGCCTATCGCCTCTCTCGCTCCCATGTATTCTGCCGCTGTTAGTTCATTTGTAATAAATTCAATTAAATTAATGACTACGGCCGCTCAATTATGGTGAAATGTGCAGCATAAATGGCTACAGAGCACTTGTGTGGTTTAAACAGCTGTGAATACCTCCAATTAAGTTGTGTAGTGAACTGGGAACGATGAAAAGTCTCACGGGTATTTAGTGTATTTGCAGAAGGGAATTCTAGCCAGACTCTTACCAAATTACAGCCTAACGGTTTGACGTTCTTCTAATTGTAGTTGGAAATGATTTTCCTGTAATTTCAGGATAAGCAGAACATAACTGGAAAATTCGGTAAACATATATGCCTTCCAAATAACGATATTCTGTCTGGTGCACTTAGTAATTTCATATTCAAATTATTTCATGGACTAACAGGTGTTATCTTGCGCTATATATGTTATGAGGCCATGGTTGAATGGGTGGTATAATAAAATTGAGAGACGAAATATCTGTAAAGCATCATTTTTATTCGGCACTTTTTATCAATTAAGTGTATTTGTAAAACATGCATTTAATGACAATACTGTTTGCACTGTTATGAACGTTATTGTGTACACTAGCTTAAATGCTGTGTTCTCGTTCATTTTCATTTACATCAGACCCCCAAAGAAAAGGCTTAGCCCCCCTTTCATAAATCTCTAGTTCCTGCAATGAGAGCAGACTTTTATTAGGATTCAGTTGGGTTTTTGGACATGCAAACTGGTCAGTTTGAATGGAAAAAAATCGTTAATAATATAAGCATTTGTAGCTTTTTGGGAAAGCGAACGAGTATTGAATATAAATGCTAATATTAATGTCGGAAACTCGTGTTATGTGCTGTCAAGTCAGTGTCGACTGGTCACCATACAGACGGCATTATACAGAATGCCTTGTCTTCTGTCTGAACCTTCAAACACTACCACTTACTGTTCGTATATAAAGCACTTCAGCCAGCTTTTAACATAAACTCTCTTGGTTTTCAGTTCTACAGTACAATAAAGGGTTTAATGATGTGTTGCACGATAAATGGAAGTATCAAACTATTTCCAATTCCGGAGGATAGCATTCAGATCAAAGTCGTGGTTAATAACGTTACCTTTATTCGTAGAAATACGGTAACAAGACTATGACGTAGCGACACACCTTCATTCATGTGTTCGGCTGGTACCGTTTCGGAAGGTCATTTATCGCCGAGGTAATAATACTGTTTCTCTGCCGTAGTAACCGCATTATTGGCCCAAGTGTCACAGCGCAAGAAATTTTCACCGGCTAAGCTGCATGCAAGAAGGGAACAACATTCTGGCTTTTGTGCCTTTAAGTACAAAAAAATACATATTAAATATATTGACGGCTCCAAGAAAGATATATATGTATAGATGTATTATTCCGTTCGATGATATGGTACAATTCTACTGGGATTATTATTAGCCGGACGTAGGTAGGTAAGTGGGAGCTTTCCGTGCAATTGTCATCGCTGTTATAAGATAGCTAGAAGATTAGCTAGACAAAAACGAGGTAAAATATGATGAAGGGAGATTATCAATTCAAGGGGGCTGTTTGTTATGGTGGTGCTTATTTTCGTTCTGAACATCCTGATTCATTTGGGCTTTACCTAACACATTGCAAATTGATATTTCAGAAGCCGCTTTAATTTCATGCTTTTGCCAGGACCGCATATTGCTCAGCGCTTTAATGACGTCGCACTGCCGAAATATTCACCTGCGGTATATAATGTACTTTACCTCAAAGCGAACTACATAGACGTCTAATAGCGAGTCAGCACTATTCGAATGACTAAACCAAAGAAAACCTTGAAATGAACTGACACCCGTGCATGTATTTTAGTTTAGATGTCGATTTAATTTACGGTGATCGTCGACTGGTGCATGTGTGATGCACCGCCCCGAAATATTTTGCCTTATTTCCCTATTATCATGCATGCATTGAGTTTAGTACATTGTTAAGTTCATTTAATTTTTCAACAGCATACTTCTTGGGATTACAATAAAATGAGTATAAATGCATATAAATGTTGATATAGCCTATAATTGGAATGCAATACTTAAACGATTTCTGGAATCAATTATGTGTGCAAAGAAAAAAAAAATTATAATCACATTTGTTTGAGGTCTGAGATAAAATTGTTGCTTCTTGAAGCAATGAAGACCCAGTCTTCCTAGGATCAAAACAAGTCAAATAAAGAAGACCGTCGCACTGCCAGTCATGTCGTCTGACCCGCAGGGAAACTGTGTGCCACTGAACTCCGCAGAGTCGAAGAAAACGGAGTACAGGACCACGGAGAAGAAATGCTGTGAGTATGGCCGTACGCCCAGGTTTTTCCGTGGTGTGTTTTAGGAATCTGACTCGGACTGACTCAGGGAAAGCACTCACGGTACTGGTCTAATGACAAAATGTTCTGTCAGGACAAATTACATGCTTATTGAATTTATACAGTGTAGAGTAGCGGTTCTTTTCCTATACAATTATGGTTATAACGGGAGGTCAGATTGTTTTTACTTTATGCTGTCTAGACTGATTGAAGATATTCTTAGCTAATTTTGCAAACACGTGTTTAAACGGTGGATTATTTTTAGATAGTCTGATTTGCTCACACTTACCCCAACGTACACCTCCAAATTCTGACATCCTGGCCTGAATTTGGTTTCTGCCACACCTGTCTTCTGAAGTGCATGCTCAGGTGCAACTGGCAGGTAAATCTGTGTCGCTAGTAGAGGGATAAAGTCAGTAGTGTAGGACATGTCTTCTAAGGAAGACGATGACGACGATGATGATACGAGGTCATACAGGCTGCTTTTATTATAATAATTGCAAAACGCTCCCCACTCCTGCCCATTAACAGACTGAATTTAGATGTGGTGAGGAATTTCACCTACTATTATGCTTAATCAGCTCGCACGAATGTACATGTTTTTGTAACACTGTCCCACTCATGAAATCCCCCCACCCACGTAACTCCCTCCAAACCTAAGCCACCCTCCCCAGAAACTGTTGGACCAGAATCACACAGCCAGAGCCCTGTCTCCAAGCAGCGAGAGCAGTGGGCTGGATCCACGTGTTACGCGTAAGCGAGAGCTTCTGGCCATGCCTGGCTGTGAAACCGCAAGCCCAGGATTTCTATTTCCAATCATCCTGCCTGCCACCTCATACAGCATTGGTGGTGTGACAGAGAGCCAGAGTGGGGGCGGGTACTAGGTAATAGTTGCCTAGTGTTCGACACTGACACACCCCTTTCTTGCCAGAGGGGGTGTCAACAATAGTGACACTGTAAACTTTTGCCCCCACTGGAAGGGCACCATTGGGGCAGAAAAGGTACAAGCTGCTGCCCAATCAGATAAGAAAATAAGGGCACAGACAAAATGTAAACTTCCACCCCTCTCCATGTGATTTGGTTTAGTCTAGATGCTCTTATATTTGAACATAAGTGATTTAAGATATTTTTCTGAAACTGATATATTTGCACATATTCTCAATTTTTCCAGCATGTGGGATAATTGCCAGCAGTTTGTTGTGTCACTGTTGCGCTTTGGGCTATGAATGAGGCAGTGACACTGGATGTTTTCATACACTTGGGTAATGTGGTAGAGCCTGATTCAACTGACTGTGATGTTGGACAGCTTGTACTTTTGGTTTGTGACAGTCTCTGGGTTTCAGGTGTCTGTATGTTTGTGTGTGTGAATCATATCCCCCCCCCCCCTTCAACAGCTATGTTTGACTATCACAGGACTTACTGTACCTGCATGACATGTGCTTGCTTTCTGTCGGTCCTATTTATACTCATTACCCAATTGTCCAGCTTTGTATAGTGAAGTCATCTTGAATGAAACGTTTTCTGGAAGGTCCAACAGAAGGACTCATTTCCGCTCTTGAAACTGCAATTTCGCCACCACAGCTCAGCCATCCTAGTCAGGGGATGTCCACTTGTGCCGAGACAGCTTGACATGGGCCCTGTCAAGAGACACATTCTGCCATCTAGACCATAACAAGCTCTTATGTCAAGCCAAAGTGTTTTGTTACCTTTAGCTTAGTTATTTACTTGATATTTTACACAGGTATAAAAATAAATTGCATCAGTTTTGGCCAGTAACATGTATTGGAATTATTTGGTATCAATACACCATCCCAGTACCAAGAGATGAGATGAACTAGAGGAGACTCCTTAACATGCAGGCTTATCCGTTTTGAACTCTGTGATCCCAAGTAAGACATGTCAGGAATTATCGGGACCATTTCATCATATGTGCGGTCAGTAAGACTTATAAGTCCTTTTCCATTGACGGCGTGTATTGTATCTACCCAGCCTGGGCCTCCTACATGACCAACTCCCCCACTGTCATCGTGATGATTGGCCTGCCGGCAAGGGGGAAAACATACATGGCCAAGAAGCTAACACGCTACCTCAACTGGATAGGTGTGCCCACCAAGGGTGAGTGAGCTTGGACTTGAGCTAATCCAAAGAGTAGAAGCTGCCAGGTCAATATGACAGGACCTAAAGGAACAAAATGGGTATCAACCAGGCCAATCGGTCGCAGAAGCTACCAGGTTTACTTTCCTGGGCACGTGTACCTGTTTTGCCTGATTAAGACAAATAGTATGCTAGTTTATCCTAGTTAGAAAGCTGTCCCTACCTTGGGAATCAATCAAATCAACACGTTCTGTTTTAATCGATATATATTTGAATAAGGTATCATACATGCAGGAAGTGACATAATTGACTGGGAACTTGTACTGTTGGGTGTTGACCTTGATGTTGCCTTCCCACAGTGTTTAACCTGGGCGTGTACCGGCGGGAAGCGGTGAAGTCTTATAAGTCCTACGATTTCTTCAGACACGACAACGAGGAAGCCATGAAAATCAGGAAGTATGTTGAAAGAAGTTTGCTTCCGGCCTCTGCTGAGTGCTTGGTGATTAGTTTTGAAATTGAACATCCAGTTTGTCAGGCTTACACAAGTTTACTCTCCATACACTATGTCCCAATGCAGCGGAACTACACCAGATGGGACTCTGAAGAGTGACCACTTTCTTTTAGTTACAATTATCGTTTAATATGATTTAATATGATTCCGACAGTTGGATCCAAGATGGCAGCACCTAAAAGTAACACCTCACCAGTTCGTTTCTCTGGATGTTCGTTACAATGTACTAGACACCTTTGCATCTTGATTTTTTAGTTCACATGATCATTAGTTTCACAGTCAATAGTAGGGCTCACAAGTTTCATTGAAAGTTTGGAGTGAGATTACATACATAACGTGTGTCTCCCGGTCAATGCATGAGACTTGAGAGCCCTGCTTATTGCATGCATTCCATCTTGCTCTTCCACTCCCAGCTTGTCTGTCCTCTGTGTCTTTGTGCATCCATATAATAACATGCTTGTAGCAGGATCAAATGTTACTTATTTTGGAATTTACCCAGAAACAACAAATGCTATTTGCTGATTGGCTGGTAGGTGGCTAATAACTCCATATAACTCAGGACAGTTATGAACTCTCCAGGAGACTCCATATGCCTGCGCCTCATCCATTTATTCTTTATAACGGGACACCTTGGTGGGTGTTATCCGTTACTTTTCAGCATGAGAAATACAAGGTGTGGCGTGTGAGCGTGTGAGCGTGTGAGCTGGTTGAAATGCATGTGTTTTACAGTCAATGCGTGAGACTTGAGAGCCCAGGTCCATAGATACCGAGGCAGGAAACATTTTATATTGTTCTCTGTTATAGACAGCATTATGTAAAAATGAGGATTCTGACACCCTTTCACGGAAATCAGTCCTTTTCACACACAAAGAAACAATCTTTGAAGGCGAATAGTAGCTGAACCAGTTGGAGAGATCTGGGCTGGCTCTGCACCTCAGACAAGGTTATTGCGACGAGCTAATGCCAGAAATAAAAACTAATTAAGGCAGAGCTGGCTAATTTCATTGCAATTTTCTAGCCTTTCGCTTGACAGCTAGGAAATATTGATTCTGTGATGTATATAACCGAAAACTGGGGCAACTAGTGATCTGATTAAGCATTTTTAATCGGTTGCAGTTGTGTGGTTTCTGCAGTCCCCTCATGGCTAAATACACAGCGGTCTAAAACCTGTGCCCACCAGCTTGGACTGTTACTCTAATATAGAGGGAAAGATGTGATTCTTTTATTTAATGCTTGTGTGCTAGTAGCCGCTCTGGAAGCCAAACTGATTTAGGTCTATGTAAAATTAAAATAGTTATACATTGTGTATATACACAGTGTACATCTATGCAGAGGACCTCATTGATAACTGGGCTACAGTGGGAAGCAGACATCACAACTTTCTGAAGTATATTACAATGTTTGGAAGTCGTTGATACTGAAAACCTTTATTCCCCCCAGACAATGTGCCCTTGTTGCTCTACAAGACGTCAAGTCCTACCTGCATGAGGAAGGAGGTCAGATTGCTGTAAGACATTGTTTCCTTATGCCTTGAACCCTTCCGGAAGTTAAGACCTTGACGTTACACACTGCTGCAGAGGGCAGGCATGTTTAGCTGTGTGACCAATGGCTGTAGCCCTGTTAGGAACATCATCTCCGCTTAGCACTCTGTGTCAGGTGACTGAGGTAAGCTCCACATAGAATTCTTAGAAAATGAAACTTCAGGGATCCAAAATATCTTCTTGTCAACACCTCACAACACATATGTATGGTATTGACTTACTCTGCGTCATTCAGCCATGTTTGTTTTCAAAGGTAGTATCGCAATTCTTGGCAAACATTAAGTTTGTCAGAGTCACCTTTACATTTACTGCATTTGGCAGTAAATGTAAAGGTGACTCTGAACTTTTTGTTCACCTTCCCTGTGAACTTGTTTATTTTCAGGTGTTTGATGCTACAAACACAACGAGGGAGAGAAGAGACCTGATTCTTGCCTTCACTAAGGAAAATGGCTACAAAGTATGTGCTACACTCTTTTTTATAACTACTATGCAGATATCCTGAAGGTCATGGACCTCTTTTTCAGAACAAAGAGTGAAATCGTATTTATTCATTCTCATGGGTAGAATCCCTATTTTGATAAACGTGGATATTGCCATTATGAAGGATGCTGAAACAGCTGTTTCCTTCAACAGGTGTTCTTTGTAGAGTCAGTATGTGATGACCCAGAAGTCATTGCTGCCAATATCCTGGTACGTTCTGACCAATGTATTGCGGTGTCATGAGCGGCATTTATTTAGCCTTGTCCACGTAATGTTTGTTGTCGTTCTTCCATTATTTGGGGCATGATTGGACTCTCTTCTTAGGAGGTAAAGGTGTCCAGTCCCGACTACCCAGAAAGACACAGAGAGCGTGTCATGGATGACTTCCTTAAGAGAATCGAGTGCTATAAAGTTACATACCAACCACTGGATCCTGATGAGTATGACAGGTTGGAAATCACAATTCACTCACTCCCTGTTGTTTTGTCAGAATTTTGCTTAAACACTCTTAAAACCCTGATTACAGCACAGATACTGTCATTAACATCCAGCTATTCATCCATTTATCTTTTACTATACTACTTATCCAGTACAAGGTATTCTGGGATCATCCTACAGTCCAAAAACATAAAGAGAGGCATAATGGTATCTCTAAACTGCCCATTGTGTGTGTGTGGGTTCTGTATCTAATACATTGTGGGGACCACATGTCCCCGACAATGTGATAAAAACCTGTTACTTTGACCTTGTGGGGACACTTTTTCAGTCCCCACAAGGGGAAACTCATTTTTAATTAAATCTGTGACTGCAATCAAAAAACGAATAGTGCCCTAAGTCTTGTATTTTGTTTGTTTATTTATGGTTCAGGTTAAGGCTGGGTAGGGGTTAAGGTTGTCATAGTTTGGATTAGGGTTATGTCCATAGAATTGAATGGACGGTCCCCACAAAGATATGAGTACAGGCCTGTGCGTGTGTGTGTGTGTGTGTGTGTGTGGGTGGGTGGGTGGAGGCTGTGTGCCCTGCGATAGATCCCATCCCTTTTACTTCCATGTACTTTACCGTGACTCTGCGCTGGATGATCTGAAAGACCCTCTGATTAAGGTGACTAATTTCCAGCAGCCAGAGTCCCATGTTACCGATAATATTTTTGGTGCGTGTCACTAGGGATACCTCCTTCATCAAGGTGATGAACGTGGGCCGCCGTTTCCTGGTCAACCGGGTGCAGGACTACATCCAGAGCAGGATCGTCTACTACCTGATGAACATACATGTACACTCTCACTCCATCTACCTGTGTCGGCACGGCGAGAGCGAGCACAACATGCAGGGCCGCATCGGCGGTGATTCCGAGCTGTCCCTGCGCGGGAAGCAGGTGCAACCCTTGTAATATATCACCTTGAGCGATACTTAAGTTACAATTGCGCAATTGCATAGTGGCTATTTAAGAAAACAGGTGTGTTATGGGAAAATGCGGCCATTATCAATGCGGTCGAATTTCCGAGGTTTTACTGCATGCATAGTTTAATGAGATTCTTACTTGTTTGCATCTTCAAACTAGTGGTAATAAATACAAAATAAGAGTTTAAGTCAAGCGAGGTGCTGCTAAGATTATACAATTCTTTGGTAATACCCCACCTAGAATATTCTGTGTAGAATATTGGAATATTGTGTACAGGTTTGGACACCATACCTTAAAAAGGACATTGCTGCCTTGGAACAACCCGATCTCACGAATTTTCGTGCAGCCATCACGACTTAAAATCTATTTAAACGTGCTGGGATCACGTATTCGGCTTTTTTTACGTGCTGGGGTAACGTTTCCCCTCCCTATGTGTTTTAATGGGCAGTGCCTAACTCCGCCACTATGAGCGCTAACTGGTGACTAAGGGACGGGAAAGTCATGCATGCCCAGAATCATATTGTGTTTTTTGTGATATGATTACGCTTTCCATAACGTGTGACGCGACCTTGCAAAACAGCGTTTGGATTTTACTTCTGTTAATAATTCCTTTTGAATAATGTCCGGGATTTCCCTCCATACACTAACTCATTCATGCAACAGAAGTAAAATCCAAGCGCTGTTTTGCAAGGTCGCGTCACACGTTATGGAAAGCGTAATCATATCACAAAAAACACAATATGATTCTGGCCATGCATGACTTTCCCGTCCCTTAGTCACCAGTTAGCGCTCATAGTGGCGGAGTTAGGCACTGCCCATTAAAACACATAGGGAGGGGAAACGTTACCCCAGCACGTAAAAAAAGCCGAAAACGTGATCCCAGCACGTTTAAATAGATTTTAAGTCGTGATGGCTGCACGGAAATTCGTGAGATCGGGTTGCTTGGAAAGGGTTCAACATAGGGCTACAAGAAAGATTCCTGGTCTTAGAGGAATGTCTTATGAGGAGAGGTTTAGCCTCGAGCAAAGGAGACTAAGGGGGGACATGATCCAGGTATATAAGATTTTAACAGGTCTGGATGCTGTTCAGCCAAATGGATACTTCAATATTAGTTTAAATACTAGAACTTGTGGCCAAAGGTTGAAATTAGCGGGAGAACATTTTAAACTGGATTTTAGAAAGCACTTCTTTACACAGCGTGTAGTTAGAGTATGGAATTGTCTTCCTGCTAGTGTATCAGAAGCTAAAACCCTGGGTTCCTTTAAATCAGAGCTAGATAAGATTTACAACTCTGAGCTATTAGTTAAGTTCTCCCCAAACGAGCTTGATGGGCAGGCTGGCCTCCTCTCGTTTGTAAATTTCTTATGTTAACAACAGTAACTACTAACGAACAAATTACCCAAATAACACCACTGCAGACAACATGTAAATGTAAACTATCCCTGGGTCTTCTTCACTGAATGAATTGTATAAAAAAAAATAGAATTCATTGTTGGCCGTGTTTATCACTGAACAAAAAGAGTGTGAACAAAAGCAGTAATTTGTAATGTTTTACCCCCCCCCCCCCAATTTGTCTATCCGTTGTCCAGTTTGCACAAGCTCTCCGAGCATTTATTGAGGAGCATGGACTCTCAGGTTTGAAGGTGTGGACCAGTCAACTGAGGAGGACCATCCAGACTGCTGAGGAGCTGGGTGTTCCCTACGAGCAGTGGAAGATCCTCAATGAGATAGATGCTGTAAGTGCCACTTTGACCCATAAGTCCAGGCAGGATTTCCAGTAGAACCACATGACACAGTGTGTGTGGTGGGGAAGGGGGGGGGGGGGGGGGGGGGGGGGGGATAGGAATGGAAATGGAAGACAGCCAAAGGAAACACATAAAAAAACAGATGTATGGTCTCGCAAAGGACTCAGGTGAGTGTGTGTTATGGACTGAGAGACAAAACTGAATTGTGACACCATCATCTGTTGGTTTCTTAGGGTGTTTGCGAGGAGATGACCTACAAGATGATTGAGGACACCTTTCCAGAGGAGTTTGCCCTACGGGACCAGGACAAATACCACTACCGCTACCCAGGAGGCGAGGTATTCCTGCTGACCGCCTGAGCTCAGCGTCCCTGGGAAGGGGGTGCTCTGGATGAGGTCATTGTGTTCCCCTTCGCTCTAATCACAGTCCTACCAGGACCTGGTGCAGAGGTTGGAGCCAGTAATCATGGAACTGGAAAGGCAGGAGAAAGTGCTGGTCATCTGTCACCAGGCCGTGATGCGCTGCTTGCTAGCTTACTTTCTGGACAAAAATGCCGGTAGGTACACAGGCACTGACAGTAATATAGCCTTTAAAAAGTACAGTTTTTAGATCACTCAGCTGGGTATCGCAGGGGAGCAATTCAAGTTAATTGCAAGGCTACAACGGCAGGCCTTTGATGGAAACTTCAGGTATACAGCCTCCTTTTACTCAACCGACATGAGAGACAGCATGATAGCAAGATAGCAAGAGTGTAACTGTGTTTTTGTTCACGTAAATGTGTTTTTGTTCATGTCGACATTATATAACTTTATTACACGGCTCTCTGGAATGCTTGATTCTGATTGGTCAGTTGAGACATTTGCAGGTTCGTTCTTTTCAAATAATGACCGCTCCAAAGTAATAACGCATAGCCGGTACTACTTGTATGTTTAAAATCAGTCCGCGCCAACAAAGATTATCG